GCTTAAGGAGTCACGTTTCAAAAATTTGTTGCGATTGCAAAGGGTGAACTGAGTAAGTGAGCTAAGTTTTCGGGAAAATAATATAAGAAAGTTGGACTTCTTCTATGTTGTTGCGGAATGCGTTATCCGCATAATATATGATTTGAACTCTTTGTTAAAGTAGTGTGAATTTGGAACTTAAATTTGAATTTTAAAATACCAACGAATTATTTTACTTCATGGTTTTTGGCTACATATTTACGCGAAACGCTATGGATTTTCTGATGTTAATTTAATAATATGTATTGGTCGACAAAATCAAGTTAAAATCTGTGTATCACGTCGGATTGTAATATTTATAAAGAGATGCATAAAGAGTCACCTCTGTTTTGGAAATATATAATTGTTGTCCTTTCAAACGAGAACATTTTTGCTTACAATTTGATAAACTTAAATCTGTAATAAGCTTGTATTTGAATTGAACTTCATACTCTGGAATACCAGTATCCCTAATTTAATTGTAAGGCAGAGTATTATTTGTCTGAAATAAAAACCATTATTTCAGTACATATACAGGAAATAAAAATTACAAATCACGCAGTACTTTACTTTATAAAAGTTATACAATAAATTTGTAGGGACTAGCTTCTTCCTGATAAACAACCGAAAAAATAAAATACAAAAAGTCACCAAAAAATTTGGGATTATTGCACAAAAATTGGATATATTTGTACATACATATAAAAGCAGAATATTGTTTATTCATGGTTTTTTTCGTTCGTCTTCGCGGACCCCCTAGGATTTTACTACGGACCACTAGGGGTCCGCGGACCCCCATTTGGGAACCGTTGGTCTAGTCTATAGTCTAGTTTATAGTCTAGTCTATAGTCTAGTTTATAGTCTAATCTATAGTCTAGTCTATAGTCTAGTCTATAGTCTAGTCTATAGTCTAGTCTATAGTCTAGTCTATAGTCTAGTCTATAGTCTAGTCTATAGTCTAGTCTATAGTCTAGTCTATAGTCTAGTCTATAGTCTAGTCTATAGTCTATAGTCTAGTCTATAGTCTAGTCTATAGTCTAGTCTATAGTCTAGTCTATAGTCTAGTCTATAGTCTAGTCTATAGTCTAGTCTATAGTCTAGTCTATAGTCTAGTCTATAGTCTAGTCTATAGTCTAGTCTATAGTCTAGTCTATAGTCTAGTCTATAGTCTAGTCTATAGTCTAGTCTATAGTCTAGTCTATAGTCTAGTCTATAGTCTAGTCTATAGTCTAGTCTATAGTCTAGTCTATAGTCTAGTCTATAGTCTAGTCTATAGTCTAGTCTATAGTCTAGTCTATAGTCTAGTCTATAGTCTAGTCTATAGTCTAGTCTATAGTCTAGTCTATAGTCTAGTCTATAGTCTAGTCTATAGTCTAGTCTATAGTCTAGTCTATAGTCTAGTCTATAGTCTAGTCTATAGTCTAGTCTATAGTCTAGTCTATAGTCTAGTCTATAGTCTAGTCTATAGTCTAGTCTATAGTCTAGTCTATAGTCTAGTCTATAGTCTAGTCTATAGTCTAGTCTATAGTCTAGTCTATAGTCTAGTCTATAGTCTAGTCTATAGTCTAGTCTATAGTCTAGTCTATAGTCTAGTCTATAGTCTAGTCTATAGTCTAGTCTATAGTCTAGTCTATAGTCTAGTCTATAGTCTAGTCTATAGTCTAGTCTATAGTCTAGTCTATAGTCTAGTCTATAGTCTAGTCTATAGTCTAGTCTATAGTCTAGTCTATAGTCTAGTCTATAGTCTAGTCTATAGTCTAGTCTATAGTCTAGTCTATAGTCTAGTCTATAGTCTAGTCTATAGTACTAGTCTAGTCTATAGTCTAGTCTATAGTCTAGTCTATAGTCTAGTCTATAGTCTAGTCTATAGTCTAGTCTATAGTCTAGTCTATAGTCTAGTCTATAGTCTAGTCTATAGTCTAGTCTATAGTCTAGTCTATAGTCTAGTCTATAGTCTAGTCTATAGTCTAGTCTATAGTCTAGTCTATAGTCTAGTCTATAGTCTAGTCTATAGTCTAGTCTATAGTCTAGTCTATAGTCTAGTCTATAGTCTAGTCTATAGTCTAGTCTATAGTCTAGTCTATAGTCTAGTCTATAGTCTAGTCTATAGTCTAGTCTATAGTCTAGTCTATAGTCTAGTCTATAGTCTAGTCTATAGTCTAGTCTATAGTCTAGTCTATAGTCTAGTCTATAGTCTAGTCTATAGTCTAGTCTATAGTCTAGTCTATAGTCTAGTCTATAGTCTAGTCTATAGTCTAGTCTATAGTCTAGTCTTAGTCTAGTTTATAGTCTAGTCTATAGTCTAGTCTATAGTCTAGTCTATAGGCTAGTCTATAGTCTAGTCTATAGTCTAGTCTATAGTCTAGTCTATAGTCTAGTCTATAGTCTAGTCTATAGTCTAGTCTATAGTCTAGTCTATAGTCTAGTCTATAGTCTAGTCTATAGTCTAGTCTATAGTCTAGTCTATAGTCTAGTCTATAGTCTAGTCTATAGTCTAGTCTATAGTCTAGTCTATAGTCTAGTCTATAGTCTAGTCTATAGTCTAGTCTATAGTCTAGTCTATAGTCTAGTCTATAGTCTAGTCTATAGTCTAGTCTAGTCTATAGTCTAGTCTATAGTCTAGTCTATAGTCTAGTCTATAGTCTAGTCTATAGTCTAGTCTATAGTCTAGTCTATAGTCTAGTCTATAGTCTAGTCTATAGTCTAGTCTATAGTCTAGTCTATAGTCTAGTCTATAGTCTAGTCTATAGTCTAGTCTATAGTCTAGTCTATAGTCTAGTCTATAGTCTAGTCTATAGTCTAGTCTATAGTCTAGTCTATAGTCTAGTCTATAGTCTAGTCTATAGTCTAGTCTATAGTCTAGTCTATAGTCTAGTCTATAGTCTAGTCTATAGTCTAGTCTATAGTCTAGTCTATAGTCTAGTCTATAGTCTAGTCTATAGTCTAGTCTATAGTCTAGTCTATAGTCTAGTCTATAGTCTAGTCTATAGTCTAGTCTATAGTCTAGTCTATAGTCTAGTCTATAGTCTATAGTCTATAGTCTATAGTCTAGTCTATAGTCTAGTCTATAGTCTAGTCTATAGTCTAGTCTATAGTCTAGTCTATAGTCTAGTCTATAGTCTAGTCTATAGTCTAGTCTATAGTCTAGTCTATAGTCTAGTCTATAGTCTAGTCTATAGTCTAGTCTATAGTCTAGTCTATAGTCTAGTCTATAGTCTAGTCTATAGTCTAGTCTATAGTCTAGTCTATAGTCTAGTCTATAGTCTAGTCTATAGTCTAGTCTATAGTCTAGTCTATAGTCTAGTCTATAGTCTAGTCTATAGTCTAGTATATAGTCTAGTCTATAGTCTAGTCTATAGTCTAGTCTATAGTTTAGACTATAGTCTAGTCTACAGTCTAGTTTATAGTTTAGTCTAGTATTTAGTCTAGTCTTTAGTCTAGGCTACAGTCTAGTCTACAGTCTTGTCTTTAATCTTGTCTATAGCCTAGTCTATAGTCTAGTGTATAGGCTAGGCTGCAGTCTAGGCTACAGTTTAGTCTATAGTTTAGCCTTTAGTCTAGTCTATAGTCTAGTGTAGTGTAGTATAGTCTAGTCTAATCTATAGTCTAGTATATAGTCTATAGTCTAGTTTATAGTCTAGTCTATAGTTTAGTCTATAGTCTAGTCTATAGTCTAGTCTATAGTCTAGTCTATAGTCTAGTCTATAGTCCAGTCTATAGTCTAGTCTATAGTCTAGTCTATAGTCTAGTCTATAGTCTAGTCTATAGTCTAGTCTATAGTCTAGTCTATAGTCTAGTCTATAGTCTAGTCTATAGTCTAGTCTATAGTCTAGTCTATAGTCTAGTCTAGTCTATAGTCTAGTCTATAGTCTAGTCTATAGTCTAATCTATGGTCTAGTCTAATCTATGGTCTAGTCTAGTCTATAGTCTAGTCTGTAGTTTGATCTATAGTCTAGCGTAGTCTAGTATACTCTTGCCTACAGTCTAGTCTATTTTAGTCTATTTTGTAGAAAATTTTCTTGACCTAGTTCTTGTAAATACCTACTCCTCTCTTAATACAATTAAATTTTCCCAAAAATTTATTTATGAAATTGTAAACAACTAACCATATGTTGCCAACATCACTGCATTCGATGGATATATGTAACCCAAAAGCACATTTAACGCCAACAACCAACCAAATCATCATATCTTAAAAATATATATGTATATATTTAACACCCTCCCAAAAAGCTTGTTAAGTTAACAACAAAGTATTTGTTAAATGGCTGTTGTTGCAATTGTATCTATGATGTTGCACAAACAAAAAAATTCGTGTATGAAAATGTGATGATGGTTTTAAATTTTAGAGCTGTGATGTTTGACCAAAGGATAAAATGCATTTATATGTTAGTGGCTACTTTCTTCTTGTAACTGATAGCTGATGCTATTGCTACTGCTGTAGTTGTTAGTTGTGTGTTAAGTAAAAAGGATATGTACAACATTCCAACAAACACTATCAAATACACAGATTTTGCTGCCATGAACATTAAAGGAAAGATACAAACAAATATCATTTACCAGGCAACACACACATACGAGTATCAAAAACACACACACACTCTTACAGCCTGTTGTTGAACAACATCTGTCCAACACATCATAAATGCATTAGTTAAACAACATGGATGAATGAACGAACGAATGAATAAATGGACAAATGTACAAAAAACAAGATGTGAACTTTTTCCCAAGATATTCTTAAAAGCAACAAAAAATTGGGTGGTGGGACAGACAAGCAACATTTTCCTACAGCTGTTGGCGTTGCCTATTCATTGCAATTTAATGCATTTTTCTTTATTTTTTCTGATCCTTTCCTTTTTCTTGTTGTATATAGGAGCGTGTGTTAATTTTAAATTGACCATTGCTTAGGCTAAAAACCTAGTTATTGCCAGTGGAATTACACCACAGGCGAGGAGAGAAATATGTATGTATGCAGGAGTATGAGAGGCACTTTACTTGGACATGTACACAATGTTATGCAACAACATTCAAACAACCAACAGCAGCAGCAAAGCCAACGACAACATCAGCAAAAACATGAACATTTTGTGAAACATGGCAAATAAATTAGCAACAAATTGTACAAATTGCTTTATGATGTTGGTGCTGCTGCTGCTGTTATACACTAACAATATTTAATATTGCTGTTGTTATATGTTCTAGTTGTTTGTTGTTGTTGTTACTATTTGTAACAACTGATGTTGTTTCTTATACAGCCTGGTCATTTAGATGTGTATGTTGTTGTTGCTGCTGCTGTTGTTGAAAGTTCAAACACATGTTAGCAAAGAGAAGAGTTTTTTCTTGTCCCGCAAATTATAATGAGGTTTTTAGATGAGAGGCAGGTTTGACTCATGCTTTTACTACAATTCATACATTTATAAAAACTTTAAAGAAATTTTCTTTTTTATAGAAAATTCTCGTAAATTATTCTTTTTATGGAAAATTTAAAAAAAATACGATTTTCGCTTTACGATAGTTCGCTTTTTTATAGAAACTTATCGGAAAATTTATCTTTTTTGTAGAAAAATTTCTGGGAAAATTTCTCTTTTTTTATAAAAAATGTTCGAAAAGTTTTTCTTTTATAGAAAATTTTCGGAAACCTCTTTTTATAGAAAGTTTTCGGAAAACTTCTCTTTTTACAGAAAATTTTCGGAAAATTTCTATAGACTAGACTATACACTAGACTATAGACTAGACTATAGACTAGACTATACACTAGACTATAGACTAGACTATAGACTAGACTATAGACTAGACTATAGACTAGACTATAGACTAGACTATAGACTAGACTATAGACTAGACTATAGACTAGACTATAGACTAGACTATAGACTAGACTACAGACTAGACTATAGACTAGACTATAGACTAGGCTATAGACTAGACTATAGACTAGGCTATAGACTGTCCAACACATAGTCTATAGTCTAGTCTATAGTCTATTCTATAGTCTATTCTATAGTCTAGTCTATAGTCTAGTCTATAGTCTAGTCTATAGTCTAGTCTATAGTCTAGTCTATAGTCTAGTCTATAGTCTAGTCTATAGTCTAGTCTATAGTCTAGTCTATAGTCTAGTCTATAGTCTAGTCTATAGTCTAGTCTATAGTCTAGTCTATAGTCTAGTCTATAGTCTAGTCTATAGTCTAGTCTATAGTCTAGTCTATAGTCTAGTCTATAGTCTAGTCTATAGTCTAGTCTATAGTCTAGTCTATAGTCTATAGTCTAGTCTATAGTCTAGTCTATAGTCTAGTCTATAGTCTAGTCTATAGTCTAGTCTATAGTCTAGTCTATAGTCTAGTCTATAGTCTAGTCTATAGTCTAGTCTATAGTCTAGTCTATAGTCTAGTCTATAGTCTAGTCTATAGTCTAGTCTATAGTCTAGTCTATAGTCTAGTCTATAGTCTAGTCTATAGTCTAGTCTATAGTCTAGTCTATAGTCTAGTCTATAGTCTAGTCTATAGTGTAGTCTACAGTCAAGTCTATAGTCTAGTCTATAGTCTAGTCTATAGTCTAGTCTATAGTCTAGTCTATAGTCTAGTCTATAGTCTAGTCTATAGTCTAGTCTATAGTCTAGTCTATAGTCTAGTCTGTAGTCTAGTCTGTAGTCTAGTCTATAGTCTAGTCTATAGTCTAGTCTATAGTCTAGTCTATAGACTAGTCTATAGTCTAGTCTATAGTCTAGTCTATAGTCTAGTCTATAGTCTAGTCTATAGTCTAGTCTATAGTCTAGTCTATAGTCTAGTCTATAGTCTAGTCTATAGTCTAGTCTATAGTCTAGTCTATTGTCTAGTCTATAGTCTAGTCTATAGTCAAGTCTATAGTCTAGTCTATAGTCTAGTCTATAGTCTAGTCTATAGTCTAGTCTATAGTCTAGTCTATAGTATAGTCTATAGTCTAGTCTATAGTCTAGTCTGTAGTCTAGTCTATAGTCTAGTCTATAATCTAGTCTATAGTCTAGTCTGTAGTCTAGTTTATAGTCTAGTCTATAGTCTAGTCTAGTCTAGTCTTTAGTGTAGTCTATAGTATAGTCTATAGTCAAGTCTATAGTCTAGTCTATAGTCTAGTCTTTAGTGTAGTCTATATTCTGGTCTAAAATCTCTTCTCTTTTATATGAATCTTTGGAAATTTTTTTAATTTTTAAAGAAATATCTTGAAATATCTCTTTTTATAGAAAACTTTCGAAAAGTTCTCTCTTTAAGATAAAACTTTCAATAATTTTTCTTTTACGGAATTAACTTGATTCTAACTTACTAACCCTACTCTCCTCTCCTTTCAGCCACTTCAAATTCTTCCAGCAGCAGTAAAGATTCCAATACAACCACGTCTAACGGCAACAATTCCAATCCGGGTACCAATCCCACCGGTACAACCAATAACTCGCGTTCCTGCCGCACACCCGACTCACCCGAATCTGCCAGAGCAGTAGCTCCTCGCTCACCCATGTCTCCGCAATTGCATCAACATCACTCCAGTTTGGCACCGCCGCCCAGACCTAATCGCAATGCTAGTGCTTCACCGGTTATAAATGGTGCTACGACCACACCGCCGCCTCAACCGTCGGTGCAGAGTGCACAGGCGGCTGTAGCAGCGGCTGCAGCAGCTGCTGCTCATGTCGAACAGGCCCGTTTGTTGGGTAAAATACGTAAATTTTTAGGATCTCTAGTGCAATTGGCCCAAGATGTTCATCCCGATGTTAGTGATCGTGTAAGAGCTTTAGTTCTTTCTTTGGGCAGTGGTGGCATAAGTATCGATGAATTTCGCATGGCTCTACAGGAGGCCATTAATTTGCCTTTGAGGCCGTATGTCATTCCACTATTGAAGAATCATATTTCCTTGCTGCAAAGAGAGATTGTGGCCTTGGCTCGTGCCACTAATCAGGTAAATGTTGCTAGTTTAAATAATTATTTTTTGAGAAAAATGTTATTAATATTTGAAACACTTCAGACCACTCTGCAATATGTAACCACCAATGAAAATTCAGTTATGGAATTTTCCCCTCACGGGCCACCAGCCGAATACAGTGACATTTTTGTGCAAATTGACAGTCAATCTAATGGTAATTCGGCTACAAGTCTGGTATTTAAAAGACGACCCTCGGACACTTTAATGGAGCCGCATGCTCATAATGGTGCTCAAGAATGGAATGATTATATGGCCGCTTATCCGCCAGCCAAACGTTTGCATGCCCATAATCCCCACCCCTCCCAAAGTGAATCACGCATACCATTTGCCTCCGCCCAGCCAACCATATTCGATTATTCCACTTCTGGAGCAAATGCGGCACAGAGCGAAGGTTCATTTAGTAATCTAATGGAAAAGGTAAATTTCTTTATAAAGCTCCTTTAAAATGTTTATGATAAAATAAAACTTCCTTTTGTTTTAGTCCAATCATCGAGATGAACGTGATCTTAGATCCTCCGTTAATGCAGATGCCGCTTCTCATCGCCCTTTGGCTCGTTCAGTTATGCCAACCGCTAGCAGTGGTCCGGGTGGTGGAGGACCTGGTGGCTCTTCCGGTGCCCAGGGTGAGGAGGAATGGAAAAATATACACACCATGTTGAATTGTATTTCCGCCATGGTGGATAAAACTAAACGAGCTATAACGATACTACAGCAGAGAGGCGTTGAACCGCAGCAGCCCAATTATGGTGAGATAACACCGGCCACTCTAATGGAAATACGAAGGCAAACCGAAGAAAAGGTGGCCGAATTTAAACGCAATGCAGAAGATGCTGTTAATCAAGTAAGTCTTCTATAAAACTCGGAAAATTTCTCCTTTTTTTTGGGAAATTTTCGAAAAATTTTCGAATATATTTTGAAAATCTCTTTTTATTGAAAACTTATTTTCATTGCAGGTCAAACGTCAAGCTGTCATTGAAATCCAAAGAGCCGTCGTGGCAGCCGAGACTCGTGCCGCCGAAGTTATGGCCCAGGAACGTTTACGCATGGAAAAGTTTTTCGTTGAAATGAGTCGACATTCCGGCAGCGAAAGAGAAATCGATAATAAATCACCCTCCATTGCTGCAAGTCAAAATGTAAGATTTTACTCTCACTTTCCATTGCAGTAGACATGTGATTAATGCGAAAATTTTTTCTTCCAAAGGCCTGTTGGAATTGTGGTCGTAAGGCAACAGAGACATGTTCGGGTTGTAATTTAGCACGTTACTGTGGTGCTTTCTGTCAGCACAAGGACTGGGAACATCATCATCAGGTAAATAATTTGAAATGTTTTTAAACTTAAATTAAATTTTTATTATAATTTCAGATTTGCGGCACCACACGAACAACCGATCTATCAACAAAGCACGCTTCCCAAGTTATACCACTGACGGCCAATATACGCGGCGCATTAACACGATCACCACCCACACCCTCACAACCGCCAGCCCATTCGCAGGCGGCACAAAATCAAGCAACATCAACAGCATCTAACGCACCGCAGCCGAGTTCATTGGTGGCCAATGGCATCGGTTCCAAATGACGTATTCGCATGATGAAACCCAAAAAGAAATATATGTGCTAGTCAAATTAAATATACACACACACACAAAAATACACACACCACTATTATTAATTAAATTAAAACACAAAACAATTATTAAAAACTACTTAAATATTAATTTAAAACTTAAAAAAAAAAATCATTAAAAAATAACAAAAAAAAAACACATTTTTAAATTTAAGAATTTTTAACTTGAGAAAAATTTTAAATTATTCAAAGAGTAAAATTAATAGAAAAAAAAAAAACAAAAACAATTTAAAATAAAATCCCACTACAACAATTACAGCAAACCAAAAAAGCAAATAAATAATTAAAATTTAAAAAAAAAAATATAAAATAAAAATTAATTCATAATAACAAAAGCAGAAATAGTAATAGATGTTTTATCACTTTCCTCAAATTCTCTCTACAACACTGTGAGTTCATTTTCTCTCTTTTGCTCGAACCTGCTAAAAACTCTTTGAATTGAACACTGCAGTCTTTTTGAATCTCTTTTATTTACTCTCAGAGTAAAGATCAATATTAATTTGCATTTGTTTTTACAAATTTTCTCAACAAATGGATTTTTTTAATTAATTTTTAATTAATTTTTAATTAATTAAAATTAAAACTATTTAATATAAATAAATATTTTTTAAGCTTTTTATTACTTTTTAATATTATTATTCGATTTTTGTTTTAGTTTTAGTATATATTTTATTATTAAATTAAACAATTATTTATTATAATGTAACGTAACTATTTGTATGATCATTAATATACAATTATTAAAACATTTATGTTAAATATTCTTAATATTAAAAATATTAAAAAAGTAATAATAACAACAAATATGAAATACAAGAAACAAGAGAAATAAGAAAATAAAATAAATCAAATGTTCAAAACAATTCTAAAACAAAACGAGTTTCATTCACAAACGAAATGCAGAGGTAAGTAAATTAATTGGTCCACACTAACTAACTAACGAACTAACTAACTAACTAACTAACTACCTAACTAACTAACTAACTAACTAACTAACTAACTACTAACTAACTAACTAACTAACTAACTAACTAACTAACTAACTAACTAACTAACTAACTAACTAACTAACTAACTAACTAACTAACTAACTAACTAACTAACTAACTAAACTAACTAACTAACTAACTAACTAACTAACTAACTAACTAACTAACTACTAACTAACTAACTAACTAACTAACTAACTAACTAACTACTAACTAACTAACTAAACTAACTAACTAACTACTACTAACTAACTAACTAACTAACTAACTAACTAACTACTAACTAACTAACTAACTAACTAACTAACTAACTAACTTAACTACTAACTAACTAACTAACTAACTACTAACTAACTAACTAACTAACTAACTAACTAACTAACTAACTAACTAACTAACTAACTAACTAACTAACTAACTAACTAACTAACTAACTAACTAACTAACTAACTAACTAACTAACTACTAACTAACTAACTAACTAACTACTAACTAACTAACTAACTAACTAACTACTAACTAACTAACTACTAACTAACTAACTAACTAACTAACTAACTAACTAACTACTACTAACTAACTAACTAACTACTAACTAACTACTAACTAACTAACTAACTAACTAACTAACTACTAACTAACTAACTAACTAACTAACTAACTACTAACTAACTAACTAACTAACGAACTAACTAACTAACTAACTAACTAACTAACTAACTAACTACTAACTAACTAACTAACTAACTAACACTAACTAACTAACTAACTAACTAACTAACTACTAACTACTAACTAACTAACTAACTAACTAACTAACTAACTAACTAACTAACTACTAACTAACTAACTAACTAACTAACTAACTAACTAACTAACTAACTAACTAACTAACTAACTAACTAACTAACTAACTAACTAACTAACTAACTAACTAACTACTAACTAACTAACTAACTAACTACTAACTAACTAACTAACTAACTAACTAACTAACTAACTAACTAACTAACTAACTAACTAACTAACTAACTAACTAACTAACTAACTAACTAACTACTAACTAACTAACTAACTAACTAACTAACTAACTAACTAACTAACTAACTAACTACTAACTAACTAACTAACTAACTAACTAACTAACTAACTAACTATCTACTAACTAACTAACTACTAACTAACTAACTAACTACTACTAACTAACTAACTAACTAACTACTAACTAACTAACTAACTAACTACTAACTAACTAACTAACTACCTAACTAACTACTACTAACTAACTAACTAACTAAACTAACTAACTAACTAACTAACTACTAACTAACTAACTAACTAACTAACTAACTAACTAACTAACTAACTAACTAACTAACTACTAACTAACTAACTAACTAACTAACTAACTAACTAACTAACTAACTAACTAACTAACTAACTAACTACTAACTACTACTAACTAACCTAACTAACTAACTACTACTAACTACAACTAACTAACTAACTAACTACTAACTAACTAACTAACTAACTAACTACTAAAACTAACTAACTAACTAACTAACTAACTAACTAACTAACTAACTAACTAACTAACTAACTAACTACCTAACTACTAACTAACTAACTAACTAACTAACTAACTAACTAACTAATAACTAACTAGACTAACTAACTACTAACTAACTAACTAACTAACTAACTAACTAACTAACTAACTAACTAACTAAGCTAACTAACTAACTAACTAACTAACTAACTAACTAACTAACTACTAAAACTAACTACTAACTAACTAACATAACTAACTAACTAACTAACTAACTAACTAAACTAACTAACTAACTAACTACTAACTACTAACTAACTAACTAACTAACTACTAACTAACTAACTAACTAACTAACTAACTAACTAACTAACTAACTAACTAACTAACTACTAACTAACTAACTAACTAACTAACTAACTAACTAACTAACTAACTAATAACTAACTAACTAACTAACTAACTATAACTACTAACTAACTAACTAACTAACTAACTAAGTAACTAACTAACGAACTAACTAACTAACTAATTAACTAACTACTAACTAACTAACTAACTAACTAACTAACTACTAACTAACTAACTAACTAACTAACTACTAACTACTAACTAACTAACTAACTAACTAACACTAACTACTAACTAACTAACTAACTAACTACTAACTAACTAACTAACTAACTACTAACTAACTAACTAACTAACTAACTAACTAACTAACTACTAACTAACTAACTACTACTAACTACTAACTAACTAACTAACTAACTACACTAACTAACTACTAACTAACTAACTAACTACTAACTACTAACTAACTACCTAACTAACTAACTAACTAACTAACTAACTAACTAACTAACACTAACTACTAACTAACTAACTAACTAAACTAACTAACTAACTACTAACTAACTAACTAACTAACTAACTAACTAACTAACTAACTAACTAACTAACTAACTAACTAACTAACTAACTACTAAAAAACTAACTAACTAACTAACTAACTAACTAACTAACTAACTAACTAACTAACTAACTAACTAACTAACTAACTAACTAACTAACTAACTAACTAACTAACTAACTAACTAACTAACTAACTAACTAAACTAACTAACTAACTAACTAACTAACTAACTAACTAACTAAACTAAGTAAACCAACAAAACCCTTTCCTTCTACAATAACAACCTCTTTTCTTTTAATGAAAACGGTTTGGATCAAAAATTAATCTCCATTTAGACTGTCAGAATGACTCACATTGTCCAATATACTTGCAAGATGACCTTCTGAAAGAATAAGCCTTACACTTCCATCGCTATAGCTTCTATTGTGAACAAAGATTGTCTGGCGATTACTGACGATCTTTGGGTAAATTAGGTTGTTTTTATATTAAATCCAAAGAAATACAAGCAGGCCTCTATCGAGCCTGTTGTGCGCTCGCTTTCGTGGAAAATGTTTGTTGGTAACAACAAAAACCATATGTTCAAATCTAAGTTTCCTGGACGTTATTCCTAATAATTTTCCCATCAATAGTCGTGAGGGCTGTTATATCCAGAATAATATTACTCCCACATTGGTTTTCTTCTCTACATGCTCTACATTCGTCATAATCCCCATGACCAATTTTGTACAGCTGTGCCCGTAATACTATGTGTGCCCTCAGAATACTCAGAATATGTATTATTATACTAGTCTCAAACTCACTCATTTTGAGAATGTTTCTCGTTAGGGTCACCCCTTCGTTAGGATTTTTGTAGGTCTAGCCACCGTTTCACTATTCCATGAGGTTTACCTCAGTCATGGTTTGGCGTTCGTCAGGTTAACTACCTCAAGCCTACTTCCCTTTAAAGCTACTTACATTCCGAGTCGTGACCGACTTCTCCCAAGTGGTCTGATACTCATATGATATAAACCTTATCTCTGGGAGAGTATTCGGTTAGTGCTTTCTTACAATCCAATACGGTCTTCGATTTAACTTTATCATCTGTTATCGCCCTAATTGCCTTCCGGCTGTCGATAAATACGTTAAGCCTTGTAGGCGCCATATCTATTCTAATCCAATTTACGCATTCTGTTATTTCTCGGAAACTCGTGTTGTGATTAGGTAATCGGTGGTATATTTCTGTTTCTGGGTCTTCAATGAAAAACCCCTGGCTCACTTTGTCCTCCAATTTAGAGCTCTAATGTTTCGCTTGACCAAGACATTCTATCTGTATCAGTGTTTTAAAGTTTCCGACATATTCTGTATCTGGTATACAGAATACATTGATGGCGGGTCCTATAACCGTTTTAGGCTAGTTCGCCTAAAGTTATGAGCCGTTCGGCTATAAGTGCCGCCTTATACCTAATACATGTTTCAATGGTACCACTTATACCTAAGCGTCATATATGCAGAACTCCCTGTAGTAGTTTGATATTACACTTTTTGCCCAAAGAAGATATAATATCTATCGAATATGTAAAGACCAATTTCTTGCTTTAGATATCGTTCTTGCGATTTACATATATTCATCAGACTTCTTTTAACATGTTACAATAACTGAAATTGAAAAAAAAACCTGCTATACTTTTTACTTTGTCTTAATTTTTTATATTTCTTCCATTTTTTTTCAAAACCACGACAATGATGGATTTTCAATTATCGTCAGCTGTGTACGACAAATGTTTAAACAAAAGTTTATTTTTTGTTTCAGCAATTTTTTTTTACGAAAATGTTGATTTTGTGTGATGTACTGGCAACAGAAAACCCACATCATCAGCAGCAGCAAACATTCATTCCATCAGCAATTATATGAAAAAGAAGGAAAACTTATATACACATACAGATGTAAGGAAACAAATACAGAGAATATTTATACATGTGTTATTTCAATTGCCATACGCAACAATAACAAAACATCTAACCGAACTTTTACTTGAAGCAATGAAACTATTAAGTCTCCTCCCTTTAGGGAATGCAATAGTATTAGTATGTTCTTTATTTACGAGAAAGGATCAGAGG